GTATGTATGTATGTATGTATGTATGTATGTATGCATGTATGTACAGTGGTGGGATTCAAATATGTGAACAACCGGTTCTCTGTGTGGATGCCACTTCCGGAAGTCCATTCTGGGCCTGGGCAACAAAAAATTAGCTACTGGTTCTGCCGAAGTGGTGCGAACCGGCTGAATCCCACTACAGTGTGTGTATGTATGTATGTATGAATTGTTGAAAGAAAAATCTTCATCAGGGTCCAGTCCAAGCTGGGAATAAACAAAATGGAGACTGCTTTAGAAAGAAGGTTGTAGTTTATTGAAGAACAGAGCCAGACAGAGGGCTCTGGGAAAGCTGACCACATGGAGCAGGGAGTGGTGGGTTTTTATACCTTCTTGGGCTTTTGTGTTTGGAGTTGTTCCTGTGGCATGAACTTTGACCTGAGGTTCACTGTGCCTTTCTGGTATTCTGATGGTGGTGGGTTAATCCTATTATGTCCTAAAGGTCATATCCTGCTTCCCTGTGGCTGTGGCTGATGGCTATGTCCTGTGTTGGGTTTTTTTGGGGGAAGGGGTTGTTAGTTCTAGGGATCTTTGTCTTTCTAATCCCATCAGCTCTAAGCTTTCTGGTGCCAGTCTTTCTGAAAGGATTATCATATCTGCATTTCTACAGAGCTGGTTTCTGCTTGGGGGAGGGAGACTTGGGGTTATTAAAGATCCTTTGAGGAAATATAATATTCTGCCTTTTTAATATTTTCTTCTCTGGGGTATGTGACTTCCCACAGTATGTATGTATGAATGTATGTATGTATGTATGTGTGTGTGTGTGTTTCTAAGGTCACACAACTCCAGAATGACTCTGAGCAGTTTCCAAATTAGAAAAGGAGAATCATCATAGGATCAAAAGAGACTGCACTTGCCCAGAGAGAACAAAAAAATCCCCCCCAAACCCCCAACAACCCTCCTTCTTTCCCATACAACACCCAATCTATTAGGGCCCACCAACAACCTTGGTCCAAGTTGTGTAAATGAGTATTTTCAAGTCTCACTTAAAGGCAATTAAAGAAGGGGCAGTTCAACACCCCCAAGGCCTGTCAGCCTCAGGATTACCGCACCAACCCATCAATGGAAACCAGTCATGTTGGAATATAGCATAAGTCACTCCATCTTGTAACCTTCAGTATGCTTAATTCTACACTTCTTCATGCCTACGTGCCTACGTGTTAGGCTGCAATCTGCAGCTGCAAACACGTAAGGACAGACAACTAAGAAGCAAGTCAACAAAGCTGTCTACACAAGCTATAATATTATCACTTCCTGATAAGACCTTCCAGTGT